GTCTCTGAGAGCAACATACATCCCGGGAAGTCTAAATCAGGGAGCAGACGTCCTGTCGAGACAGGGGCTGAGGCCCGGGGATTGGAGACTTCACCCCGAGGTGGTGGAGTCGATATGTCAGAGGTTCGGCCCTGTGGAAGTGGACCTGTTTGCGTCTCGAGAGACGACCCACTGTCCGCTGTGGTTTTCCCTCACCCCTCCAGCCCCACTGGGGCTGGATGCTATGGTGCAGACGTGGCCGAGGCTGCGTCTGTATGCATTTCCCCCGATCGCTCTGCTCCCGGGAGTTCTGGAAAGGGTCCGTCACGACGGGATCAGTCTACTGTTGGTAGCCCCGTTGTGGCCGGCCCGAGTATGGTTCTCGGACATAATATTGCTCCTAGACGGCCCTCCGTGGGAGATTCCCCTCAGGAGGGACCTGCTGACACAGGCGGGGGGCTCAATATTTCACCCTCGGCCGGAGTTATGGAAACTGTGGGTCTGGCCCCTGAGGGGGCACAGTACCTAGAGGCCGGCCTGTCAGCTGGAGTAGTGGAGACCATACTCAGCTCTAGAGCTCCCTCCACGAGGAAACTGTATGGTTTAAAGTGGAATGTGTTTATTGATTGGTGTAGGAGGCGTGAGGTTGACCCAGTTAACTGCCCAGTGGCTTCAGTGCTGGAGTTCCTCCAAGATCGCTTCTCCTCTGGTCTTACCCCGTCCACGCCCAAGGTGTACGTGGCTGCCATTGTGGCTTTCCACGCTCCGTTGGGTGATGGGTCTCTGGGGAGACACCAATTGATCGTACGTTTCCTCCGTGGAGCTTGGAGGATGAGACCTGCGGCTCGTACCAGGGTTCCCTCTTGGGACCTGGCAGTAGTTCTAGAAGGATTGGCTGAGGCCCCCTTCGAGCCACTGGAGTCGGCTGAGGCCAAGAACCTAACGCTGAAGGTCGCTTTTCTGTTGGCCATCACTTCTCTGAGGAGGGTGGGAGATCTTCAGGCGCTCTCCATATCTAACGAGTGCCTGGAGTTTACTCCAGGCAACATTAAGGCCATCCTTCACCCTAGGCCTGGCTATCTGCCTAAGGTGCCATCTAATGTGGCACGGCCTACGGTTCTGCAGGCATTTCATCCCCCACCTCACCTGACGGCGGATGAGGAGAGACTTCATAGGCTCTGCCCTGTCAGAGCACTAGGGATATATATTCAGAGGTCCTCTTCATGGCGGAAGGCGGACCAGTTGCTGGTATGTTTCGGGTCGCCCAAAAAGGGGTTTCCGGCCTCAAAACAAACCATCAGCAACTTGATTGTCAATGCGATTTCCACAGCTCATCAGGTGCGCGGTATGCCTTCACCTTTGGCTGTGAGGGCCCATTCCACTAGAGGCATAGCATCCTCTAGGGCCCTTCTGGATGGGCTACCCCACATACCTTCATTAGGTTTTACAGCTTAGACATTCCGTCGACACCCGGCTCTCTTGTGCTCGCGTCCTGAGTGTGCCTGTAAGCAGCTTCACACCAGGACAGGCAGGGCGCGTTGTGGCGTAGTGGGTACTCGTTCCCCCAAAGTGTCACTTGGACGCAGTTTGAGTTCCCTCGATAGGGAACGTCCTCGGGTTACGACTGTAACCCTTGTTCCCTGAGAAGGGAACGAGAACTGCGTCTCGTGGCCACGCCTTCCCCTGCCTGGGAGCGCTTGCTTCATCACAGAAGCTGACATGTTGTGTGTGCCGGTTCCTTATATATGCTTCCGCCTATGTGTCGTCACACATCACGTCATCACGTTGATCCAATCGGAGATTGGCTTAGTTTCATTCATGCTTCAGAGACGCTACGCTGAGGGGCGTTCCCCCCAAAGTGTCACTTGGACGCAGTTCTCGTTCCCTTCTCAGGGAACAAGGGTTACAGTCGTAACCCGAGGACGTTTTCTTAGATCCGTCTCTGTCCTGCCAAAATAATAAATGTGCTAAAATTTATGAGCACTGGAATGTTTAGTCGCGTCTATGGGTTCTAAAGGCGTTGCCCTTGGTTACCGATAGCGTCTCCTACCATCATGGCCGACCGGCTCAGACCCCGCCCAAATAGGCACGTGACTCCTCATTCTCAATTGACGCTTGCTGGTTGATGCGAGGTGCATTCTGGGTTACCTGGCTATCTCAAGTCCACACAAGTCACCTCTCGATGCATCCTCGGTAAACACATAGACATAATATATACATAGACGCCCTATTGGCCGCTTTGGAACGTTGCTGCGTCAACGGGTCCGCCATTTTGCGGAGGTCAAGACTGCATTGTAATTAAATGTAAGTAAACGGGTGAGCTGCGTTTTTCTGGATAAAAACATTCTTGGATAAGAATGGTGAAGATCCCCATACTGAGATATTTAAGTTTGCTCATTGTGGAAAAAGCATTTTATGTGATTGACCAGATTTTAGCAATAACATTGATAACTGATGGTTCCTTTATGATAATACATTATGTTGTGGTACAACTGGGCATGCAGTGCAATGCAAATAGTAATTATAACATAAAGTGAAAAGTAATTGTAAATAGTTTAGTCAATAAAATAAACAAATAGTATACAGCAAATAAAATGGAAATGAATACATGTAAAAATATTGATAATAGTTTATTAATAATTCTATAATAATAGCAATATAATAAGACATTTCAACTACAGAATAAACACACACAAAAAATATGTTTAATATTTAGCTCTTTGTGTTAAATTTCAGTTTTATTGATCAGTAATAGGCTAGCCATTATAACAGAAGTAGCTTCAGTCAAACATACAATGTTAAAATAGCCTAAATATAAAGTTATGAAACTTTACTTTGCCCTCAGCCAAAACTATTTACCAGGGAACCATTTCTAGATTAATGAGACTGTAGTGGCTATTTGTCCATAAACTTAAACAAAACAAAAAAAACAATAAACTTCTCAAATGGCCACTTGAGGCTCGTCATGGTTTGGCTTGTTAGGGGTTAACAGTTAAAGGACCCAGAACCAGATATGAAGAATGAAGACCCGGAGTCGGAATTATAAAAATTAAAGAAAGTTTTACTGAACATAGTTTGCCATTTCATCAGCAGAAGTCAGCTTCAAGACTCACTCAGGAGTTCGTAGGCCGCCCCCTTACAGTTACAAAGATCACAGCAGTTATACTGTTCCCAAGGTCTAAGCTACATCATTGCTTACACGTTGAATGATTCTCATTGGCTACGATATAGATAAACACAGTAATTTTCCACACATATACAGATAGACGAAACATATCTCCATCGATGAGGCACGTCATGACCTTCCAGGTCATAGATTTGGGTTGCTGGCGCCAGTGTGTCCAGAACAACAACTTATTCAATCTCCAATAATGGCAGTGGTTCCTTAACCTGCAACTAAGAAGACTAGCACTGAACTTTAGTCTAACTGGAGTAAGACTTCAACAAAGAAATAGTGCCTTAAACTGTTGGACTCAATGACCCCTTTATGTTTTAACACTCAAACATAAACCAAATCCCTACTTCCCTATTATTTTCACTGTTACTGCATTCACCTAGGACACTAGCAAATAGGAGCTCCCATCAAGGCTGAAGAGAGTCTGAGCGTCTTATTATCAGTTAAGTGTACCAAAACATAATGGTAAAACATTCACTTTGTTTGGGAGAAAAACAGATAACATTTGCTTCTCAGAAAGCAAATATAATAGAAAGAATACAGTTTAATATAACAATTAAAGTTCAATAAAGCAATGCTCAATATAGCTTGACCGTCTGTACAGAGAAGTATCATATGTGTTGGACATATGTGTTCACGACGCCTTTAGGATCCATAAACCTTTCTCCTGAGACCAGAGAAAGAGACAAATGGCCTTGTACACCTAAAAGAAGCTGGTGACGTGCATCAGCATGCATTTAAGAATATTATTTCACAAGCAAAAGCACAAAGAATAAATGTATATGTCGATAAATGATTAAGTAACAATTAATATACTTAATTATTGATTTTATAAAAGAAATACATAATCATTTAAAATGATATTATGATATATATACTGAAGAGGCAAGGGATTTTGACCACCCCTTCAGTCCCCCGTTTTAGACCAATGTGGGGTCCAATACCGCCACGTCTGGTCTAACCAGTGAGGTCACTACGGAAGGGGGAGTGGTGACGCATGCTCCCCTGACGGGTCACACTTGTCTCTTCACCTCGTCACGGACATGCTGGATACTAAAAATTCCAGTCCCCATTAAGAGGCTCTCCCACCTTCCACTCACAACAGGACATCAATGTCATTCTTCCTCAGTTTATCAGTCAGGTTAACATTTTTATAAAACACATAACTGATTACGAAACAAGTACAGATTTATCCTCTGGAAGCCGGGCTAAACAAGCACCGTTGCTATTCTGCTCTTGCTTTGATCGGTTAGCGTAGCAGATAGCTAACATAAGACCCAATAAATAAAGACCCAGGAAACCGGAGTAGAGAGAGGCCTTTAGTAAGGATCTTTCCAATTTTGTAAAACTGTGAAAACATAATAACATGGCATTACAAACTGCCCATATATACATATACGTGAATATGCAAATCAAGTCTAACATATATAGCTATCCCATAAGAAAAATTAGTCATTTTAAAGAGACTTGTAGGACTAGTTAGCATTTAAGCTAACATTAACATGGATGTCTATGGAGAAATGCTAATCGCGATTAGCATCTATTAATACAACATACTTATTATGTTAAAACGGACAATACTCAAAGAATATAGCAAAGTAAATATACTTTTTACAGAAATACTTACAGACTTAGACCTTCAAAAACTACCAAGGCAAAGAGAAAAGAGTAACTGCTGCGAGACCTCTCAGTAGATCAGAGTCAGAAGCACACGGGCAAAAACAACGGCAAGAGAGGAGGGACTAAATATGAGAACTTAAATGCAATATAAATTTACACCACTACATGTCTCTAATGCAACACAAAGAGGGGCAGAACACTCCCCGCCTGGTATTAAATAATACCACTATGGCCCATTACTGAGAAGCAGCACAATGTCTGAAACAGGTCTTGAATACACCTTGGGAGTACCCTGTCTCATGATCTTCACATTGACTTGCCGAATCCTGCCATCACGACTGGGGATGGTTTCCGCAATAACACCTGTGGGCCACTCATTCCTTTTAACTTGAGTGTCTTTAAGGAGTACCACATCTCCAACTTGCAGGTTCGGTCTTTCTGATTTCCACTTCTTACGGGGTTGGAGCGTCTCCAAGTACTCTTGCTTCCAGCGTCTCCAGAAAGTTTCAGCGAGGCTTTGGACTTGCCTCCATTGCTTGCTATAAAGATCTTTGAGATCCATGTTCCCCAGAGGAGCAGATACTGGATCAATCTTCTGAGTGAGCAGCATTGCTGGTGTGAGAACAGCTGGCATCCCTGGATCAGAGGACACTGGAACAAGAGGTCTTGCATTCATGATTGCCATGATTTCAGCCATGAGAGTCACAAGCACTTCATGAGTGAGGCGACAGTTCTCCTTCAATAGCATGGCATCCAAAATGCGGCGTGCAACACCGATCATCCTCTCCCACACTCCACCCATGTGAGAGGAGTGTGGAGGATTGAATATCCAGGTGCAACTTTTTTCTTGCAGGTGAGCTTTTAGCTCAGGATCTTCTGAGTTTATTTGCAGTTCTTTGCAAGCTCCAACAAAGTTTGTGCCCCTATCAGAACGGAGCAGACTTACAGGACCTCTGATAGCGGTGAATCTCCTCAAAGCATTGATGAAGCTGGAGGTTGACATGGTCTCTACAACCTCAATATGCACTGCTCGTGTACTCAGACAAGTGAACATAACTGCCCAGCGTTTGTTTTCTACTTGACCACCTCTGGTTCTGCGCGACGAGATGGTCCAAGGTCCGAAAACGTCAAGTCCAACATTCGTGAACGGAGGATCCATGGTGAATCTGTCCAGAGGTAAGTCAGACATTTTTTGTTCTTCCAACTTTCCTCTTAATCTTTTGCAGATCACACATTTGTGAATCACACTTGACACCAATCTCTTACTTCCTGTTATCCACAGTCCAGCTGTACGAACTGCACCTTCAGTGAAGTGTCGTCCTTGGTGAGCAACTTGTTCATGATAATGTCTTACCAGCAGAGTAGAGACATGATGGTTTTTTGGAAGAAGGATTGGATGCTTTTCTTCCCAGGACATGTCTGCTGACGATATTCGACCTCCAACTCTCAGCAAACCATTATCATCTACGATGGGATCCAAACTTCTGATTGAACTGTGTCTTGAGACTTCTTCACCCTTTGAGATGTTTTGAATTTCCTCTTTAAAGAAGTCCTGTTGTACGCTTCTCATTATTATGAGTTTTGCTTGAGGAAGCTCACCCATTCTCTGTTTATGGTCTGTATTTTTGGAGTAGGCTCTGGCCTTTTGGATGAGCCTGGCTGTTGCACGGGTAAGTGATTTCCAACTGGAGAATCTACTAAACCGATTAGAGCCGATACCTCCACCTCCACCTGTAGTGTTTTAGCATAGGTTGAAATTTGAGGGCGGATTTCTGCATCAGACTCTGGATGTAAAAGGTCAAATATCTCTAGCTGAGGAGACTCATCCGACTCAGGTTTTGTCAGAAAAGCTGGACCTGAAAACCAGTTGGTGTCTTTTAGGAGAGCGGCTGGGACTGACCTGGATCCATGATCTGCAGGATTATGGCTGGTGCTGATATAGTGCCACTGATTAGGGTGCGAGGACTTCCTGATTCTTGTCACTCTGTTTGCAACATATACATAGAAGTTCCTGGACGTGTTATGAATGTAGCCAAGGACAATCCTGCTATCTGTGTAGTACTTGACTGTGTGAATCTCCACATCGATTTCATCCATTATCAGGTCTGCAAGCTCTGTTGCCAAGACAGCTGCACACAGCTCCAAACGAGGAACAGTGTGCGCAGGACGTGGAGCCAGCTTGGACTTCCCCATAATGAACCCGACATGACTGCGTCCTTCTGTATCAACTGCCTTAAGGTAGGCTACAGCTGATATAGCTAAAGTCGATGCATCTGCGAAGACACAAATTTCTCTGTGTACAGTGGCAAGCAGAGAAACAGAAAGGTAGGTCCTCTGGATCTGAAGTAGCTTAAGTTCCATCAAGGAATCTTTCCAGGCTTTCCACTGGGTTATTTTGACGTCTGGTAGTTTAGTGTCCCAATCGTACTCTTCTATGGAGATATCTCTCACCAGAGCCTTTCCCTGAATCGTGATTGGTGCCACAAATCCCAAGGGATCGTAGACACTGTTGACCGTTGAAAGAATTCCCCTTCTAGTGAATGGCTTTTCCTCATCAGACACGCAGAAGAAGAAGCTGTCTGTTTGCAGGTCCCATCTGAGGCCTAGACTGCGTTGAAAAGGCAAAGGATCAGATGACAGATCCAGATCCTTAAGATCTTTGGCACGATCTTCAGATGGGAAAGAGTTCATAACAGTGCTGCTATTTGATGCTATCTTGTGCAACTTGATGCTTGACTCAGCTAACATCTCCCTTGTTCTTTTCAGAATGTCGATGGCTTCTACTGCTGTGGAGAATGAGGCGAGTCCATCATCCACGTAAAAGTTCCGCATGACAAACTGCTTAGCATCTTGGCCATGTTCTTTTTGTCCTTCTTGTGCTGCCCGTCTCAAGCCATAAATGGCCACAGCTGGTGAAGGGCTGTTACCGAATACATGTACTGCCATCCGGTATTCAGTCACTGGTTTTGTGAAGTCGTTATCTTCAAACCACAAGAACCTTAGGAAATCACGGTGTTCCTCACAGACTGTGAAACAATAAAACATCTGTTGCACATCTGCAGTGATTGCAAAAGGCTCCCTGCGGAAACGAAGAAGGACACCAAGAAGAGTATTATTGAGGTCTGGTCCCTTTAAGAGGACGTCGTTGAGGGAGACACCTTCGTACCTGGCACTGGAGTCAAACACCACCCGTATTTGGTCTGGCTTCTTAGGGTGGTAGACACCAAATGTTGGTAGATACCAGCACTCTTGATTCTCTTTCAATGGCGGAGCTAGTTCTGCCTGGTTTGACTCGAAGATTTTCTGCATGAAATCCATATATTGCTTTTTCATGTCTGGCTTTCTTTCCAAAGTGCGACACAGAGATGAGAGACGTTTGGCTGCTTGCTCTCTATTATTTGGGAGACGGCGCCTTGTGGAATGAAATGGTAAGGGAGCCACCCAACTGTTTGCATCATTCATGTGAACGTTTTTGTCCATGATCTCAAGGAAGGCTTGATCTTCAACAGACAAAGCTATTTTCTCATCCTCTTTTGTTCTTTTGAATACTGTGCTTCCAAGATCATCAATGTCATCTGCCAGTATGTCCATCTTTTTCAAGGTTTGTACACTGTGACTTGATCTCCTCTTGTCAAACTTTTCCCGGATGTGAATAACACTATGACATGGTCTAAGGAAAGACGTACGGCCAGTAGGTAGGACATCAGTCCTGTAAACATTAATGCTGCTAGGCTTGTGGGCCCCTCCGAGACATACCTCTCCAACAATGACCCAGCCGAGGTCAAGTTGTTGGGCATATGGAGCATTGTTGGGTCCATTATACTGTTTACGTACTTTGTGTACGCACAGTATATCTCTGCCGAGTAGAAGAAGAATGGCTGCATCCGGATCAATGGCTGGGATTTTATCCGCAATTGGCTTGAGGTGGGAATAGTGCTGTGCTATTTCTGCTGAGGGAATCTCTGAACGGTCGTCTGGCATCATGTCACACTCTATGAGTGATGGAAGTGAGATCTGTACCTTTCCATCTATTGACTCAACTATGAGGTTGTTTGCACGTCTTCCTGATGTTTCCACAATCCCTGAGCATGTTTTAAGGGTGTATGGTGCGGCATTTGCTCCAATGCCCAAAAGGTCGAACAGCTCGGTCTTGGCCAGAGACTTATTACTCTGCTCATCAAGGACAGCGTATGCTTTAACAGCTTTCTCCCTTTGGCCTGCAGGGTAGACTCGGACCAAGCATATTTTGGAGCATGATCGGGAACCGAATGAGTCCCCGCAGACTTCTGTGCACTTTGACATAACCTCTGGAGTCTCATCTTCCTGCTGCTCCCCGCCATGATCCTCCTTGACGGCAGAGCTGAATGACTTCCATGGCACTGGCCCTGGGTGAAGCGCAGCTAAGTGTTTGTTGCTGTTGCACTCTTTGCACTGCACAGATTTGTCACAGTTCTTGGCGAGATGATTTGTTGAGGCACAACACTTGAAACAAATGTGTTTCTCTTTGAGGTAAGCTTTTCGTTCATCTACGGTCTTGCTGCGAAAGCCACGGCATTTTCTTAGAGGATGGGGCTTATTATGTAACGGACATAATCTATCTGGATCCTCAACCTTTTCCTCCCTAATGTTTTGCTTATCACCACTTTCTGAAGAAACCTCAGTCTTCCTGGTGAACACATACGGTTTGGTGGGTTTCAGAGGTTTATCCGTCTTGACTGAACCACTCATGGTCAGTTCGACAAAGCTGGGGTCATTTCTTGTCTTTGCTTGGTCTCTGATAAACTTTACAAAGACACAAAAGGGGGGGTATTGAACCTGATGTTCGTCTTTATATTTAGAGCCGACTGCAATCCATTTCTCCAGAAGGTTATAAGGAAGCTTCTGTGCGATGGGATTGACTCCCCGTGGTGTGTTGAGGTAAGATAATCCAGGTAAGAATCCATCTTTCCTGGCTGCCTCCAGCTCTAGCAACAGGTCCCCTAGCTCCCACAGCTTCTCATTGTCCCTGTTTGATATTTTTGGAAACTCCTCTAACTTCTTAAGCAGAGCGTTTTCTATCATTTCTGCTGATCCATAGCATTCTTCCAATCTCTGTCACACCATTTTGAGTCCTGCGCTGGCATTATTGATGTGAACTGCACGGATCCGTTTAGCCTGCTCTGTAGACCGTGGTCCCAGCCATTTTGTCAGTAAATCTAGCTCTTTCCTGGGGGTTAAGTTCAGATCACTGGTGGAGTTGACAAAGGAAGCTTTCCAGGCCCAGTAGTTCTCTGGTTTATCGTCAAACTTTAAGAGCCCAGAGCTAATTATTTATTTGCGAATCAGGTATCTGGCTAAGTCTTTTGTGTCTGACTGATCATGCAGGGGTGCTCTAGAGGGCATGAAGTAGGTTTTACCTTCTGTTGGTGTGATGCGAGTCTGTAGAGGGCGGCACTCATTTTGGTAGAACTTCAAAGGGCTTGCATGGCTTTGCTGAGCGTAGGATGTGCTCGTGCTCTGGCGTTGTGCTGTTAATTCTTGGAACATGCCGTCGCTTATTTCTTCCCAACTGTGTGTTTGGATCCCACGATTATCTGTATCACCGTTGTCCATGTTTGTCTGGTGCTCTGGTGTAAAGATGCATTGTGGTTCCATGAGTTGAGACTGTTGCTCCCCATGTTCCAGCGAATGTTGTTGCACATACTCACTAGTGCGTTGATGTGAGTGATATGGAGCTAATTTGGTCACATTCTGCTGTGTTGGTTTTCCAACTTCTTCCTCATAAGCTGCTTCAAGGATTTCAGCCTCTGTAATAGCTGCTTCAGCAGCGCCCTGTATTTTCAGTGCTTTGAGGTTGGCCTGTAACTCAGTTGTCCTACGTTTCAGTTCCACTTCAAGCATAGTTTTTCTTTTAAATTCTTCTGCTTCTAACCGTGCTTGCTTTATTAGCATGTCTGCTTCTCTTTGTGCATATGCAGCTTTGATTTTTGCAGCTTCCGCTTTAGCTCTAGCTCTCGTGGCAGCAGAACCGTGTGCTGAGGCACGGCTAGAATGGGTTGAGCTTCTGGTATGGTAGGAGTGTTGAGACTGTCCATCTTCTGGATATAGCAGAGGTTTTTCTTCACTTTTTTCCTCCATGATAGATTGTTGAATCTATGCTGCACTTCTGGGCTGCAGTGTTGATATCTCACTTTTCTTATGGTAGCAGACTGAATTTTAAGTCTTTTTACTATTCTGCTCTTGCTTTGATCGGTTAGCGTAGCAGATAGCTAACATAAGACCCAATAAATAAAGACCCAGGAAACCGGAGTAGAGAGAGGCCTTTAATAAGGATCTTTCGAATTTTGTAAAACTGTGAAAACATAATAACATGGCATTACAAACTGCCCATATATATACGTGAATATGCAAATCAAGTCTAACATATATAGCTATCCCATAAGAAAAATTAGTCATTTTAAAGTGACTTGTAGGACTAGTTAGCATTTAAGCTAACATTAACATGGATGTCTATGGAGAAATGCTAATCGCGATTAGCATCTATTAATACAACATACTTATTATGCTAAAACGGACAATACTCAAAGAATATAGCAAAGTAAATATACTTTTTACAGAAATACTTACAGACTTAGACCTTCAAAAACTACCAAGGCAAAGAGAAAAGAGTAACTGCTGCGAGACCTCTCAGTAGATCAGAGTCAGAAGCACACGGGCAAAAACAACGGCAAGAGAGGAGGGACTAAATATGAGAACT